TGTCCTCGGTGGAGATCACGACACCGATTGGCCGATTGTAAAGGACTGAGAGTCACGTCGGGTCGGCTGCCCATCCGTCGAAAAGGAACATGGTGCTGATGAATCAACGAGTCCTTGCTTGAGCTTGGACCAACAACGAGAACTAAAAAGTGGACCAGATCTGATGATGTCTCGCGAAGGGATCTCGGTGAAGACCCGGAGCCATGTTCGACTGGGGTGAAAGAGAGTTTGATGTGTGTCACAACACCCTCTTTGTACCAAGAGCTGACATACACCACATTGCAGGAATACTGAGACATGAAATGATTCAAGCACATCAATATGGGATCATATATGGGCTTGCTATGCTCACAAGCATAAGAGAGAATGACCGACTTGAAGTCAGGCAGACAACTGACAATGTGTGCGGCCATGTGGAGGTCTAAGTTAGCATCTTGTAACAAAACTGCACATCCACAACTGTTCTCAAAACATCCGCAGTGACATTGTATCTACTGTACACTTACCATAGTACGAGGTGAATGGCTTTGCTTGGTAGCATTCGACTTAACCTCGGTGAATCTGCTTGAACCTGCCCCAGATGTATGTTGGGCCCACTGGCTTCAGCAAGAAGAAAAGAAGGAAAAGACTGGGCCCTTGCTTTGGTTTGTGAGCATGGGGGCGGAGAATTGACGCTGGAATTGGCTAGTAGGGACCCCTGATAATGATAATGGGCCCTTGGCATCTAGGTCCCCTAGCTGCCGATGATTTCTCTTCACGAATTCTGGGGTGAGGTGAGCCGATCAAGCACCTGAAGGACAAAAATTCTTGTTCATGTCGAAGTTGGGCGGAATCAGCCACCGCCAGTCCAATCTAATCGAGTCGATTTGTTAATTGTAATGCCGTAATAGAATTCTGCGCATCATTTCTGCCTTCCATATTTTAGTGCGAGGCAGCTCTGTCGTGCATGCCCCAAGGAACAGTATGCTGTACATAAAACAGGGTGCGTGGTCAATACTTCGGGCGATAACTAACAATAATTGGAGGGACGGGATGATGGATGATGGACGGTTTGCCATGTGCCTGGGGCTCTGCAGCGAAAAATTGACTGTTCACTAACAACCGCCATCAAATAACGTGCCTGGTTGACAAATTGAGTTTGTGGTGCTTCTTCCCGAGGTCACAGCCGAATCATTTCGTTGTAGTGTGGGTACGGGGCTACACGTCCTTCTCACCGAGCCGGGACGGGGCTCGGCGGGCGGCGAATGACAACACTCCGTGTGGTGCTAGCCTGAGTGGTTTCTTTCTCTTTGGATGGCTCGACAGCTGCTTCTGCAATATGGAGGCGCGCCTATGGAACCAGGCAGTCCTAGAGTGTATGGAGACAATTTGTGGAAGCTAAGCTCTAACTCGCAGTAGTGTGAGTGGTAGGTGCGTTGGGCTGGTCTGGGTGTAAGTGATTAACCGCGGGTAAAGTATCGAGCCTCAATGGCATTGAACACTTGGCTTGTCTCATGAGAAGAAGCATGGTCAAGGGAGAAGTCGGTTCAATACCGCACGTCATCTTAAGGTTGGTCCTTGTATTAGGAGAGAAGCGAGGCCGCAAGTACAGCGCTATTTTACCATCACTGTCGAGCTTGATGTATTGAAAGGGTTGATGTTACGAGTGAGAAAGTTGGCAACAATGTTTCCAACGTACAAACAGACTTGTGTCATCAAGAAAAGGATATGAATCCAACGAGAATATGCTATGGCGAGTAGGTGGTGTCGATAATAATCGGCTTTGGGAGTCAAAGTATCTGCCCAAATGAGAACAAGACGAACGATGATGACGGTAGAGAAAGCCAATAGATGTTCTTCTCAACTACGTAGAGTTAGAACACTCATGCAAGCATACCATGTACTAGCATATAGGTTGCAGCTGCCGACGAGGCTGGCCGCAGACCACCCACGCGCCGGTGACGGAACCCGGTCACCTCATGGGGATGGAAACGTAGAATGCAGACATGAGACATACCGTTTAGTGGGCCAGGACTCATGGTTGTAGAAGCAAATTTGGAACCTAAGAAGCCATGAGAGCATGTCCTTGAGGTTGCAAAGGAGGACATAAAAGAGAATGCTGGGCAGCTCTTCGCTTGCGATAGTGACGAAGGCAACGGCGTGATGAACACAACGGCGTCCCAGCTTGTGACGTTGAGAGCCAGGGGAGTTGTACTGTCTGTGCTCGGTGTTGCACCTCCGGTCTAACAGATGCTTTGGGCAACGGGTCCTTGCACGGATCTCTTCACAGGGAGCATGCCATGCGACGAACAGGGTTTAGCCATCCGTCAGTCCGTAGTACTGGTTACACGCAGACTGTTTGGCCTTAAACTTGAACTGGGAGGTGGTTCAGTGAAGCAGATGGATCTCTGAACTTGATCCAAGCGCAACACATGTTGATCGAGTTCTTGTTTTGCTTGCTTGATATTGGCTGATAGATATCTGCCAGTTCTGCCTCGAAGAAAGTGTGGGTGATTGCTTCTTTGAGATGTCCGGGGTATGTTAGCGTGCATATGGAGTAGTGCGTCGTAATTGTTCAGTCTCGTCAGGTGAAGCTTGATGTGGCCGGATTAATACGGACTCGAGTATTGAAGATCGCAACCAGCTTCGTTCGATCAAAGGCCTAATGCTCGGGGTAATTTAGAGCCCTGTTGAGATCCTGTACCTGTATTGAAGCTGAGCCGATATCGCCTCGTCTGACATGTTGCTTGGTCTTGACATGTCAAGTGCCAATAGACGATATACGGTTGAAATCGACATAGCTGGGTACGGTCAAAGAAGAGATGGATCACATTCGAGGGGAATTCAGTGGGGAGATGAAGATGTACTGCCTCCGAAAAAGAAAGCAATTCCGAGGAAAGTCCTTTGCTGATGTGATGTTTGGATTGGCAGGAACACCAGAAACCCACGCAGTCACGTTACAAGCGCATATTAATATGGGAAGGTACAGTACATCGCAGACAGGGCAAAGCAAGCAAGCGAGAAAACAAGGGTAGCATTTGCCGCCAGAGCCGCGTATCATCACATAACGCTACTGTACCTTAACCAGTCTAGTGGGATGCAGATTTGATCAATTCGGTTCCGTTGTCAAGATCCTTACTCCTGGGACGTTCGAGACTCGAGGTTGATTCCCTAAGCCGTTGTGATATCAAACAGAAGGTGCTGCCATTTTCTATTTTATACCGAGATGTACCGCTCACCTCGGCCGGGATTTACAGCCGGGTCTAGCCTAAATCGTCTCACCTTGTCTTGCTTCATGAACCTCATCCCACGGTCGACTTGTCTGTTATTGGCCTTTTGAGAAATGTTGGATTTTTTGTCTGATGATCAAGACATGCATGTTATCTTAGTCTTACTCGTGAGAAATCCCCAACAAATTTATGTCTCTTCGTTAATGCTTGGATGGGCAGGTACTTCGACTCGGTATTGATTGTCCATGTTCGGCTTCTGACCTCGACTGACCTTGAACCCACCTTACTGTAGGAATCCAGTGACCATCGAAGTCAAGGCTACTCTGTTCATTAACTCGTTCCATTTTACCCCGTCTCAGGTCCCCCAAAATACAAGCCAATGTATTCCCGGGCCGGTCCCTTACTCTCACCTCAGGTACCTAGTCCATGCATTTGCCGCGAAAAGCTACCTCATTTTAGTCTCCTGCTTCCCGGGGAAATCCACTTCCCCTCTGGCGGGCATTGTCACCAGCAGCGCTCCTCTCCGCCGTGCAGAGTGAGTTAGTACCTAAATTGCTCCCGCCCACGCCCCTCCCCATCCCACTTTCGTTTGTGAGACTCTCCAAGCCACTCTCTGATTGGTCTCATCATAGCTGGACCTTTCTCTCCCACGCCCTTCCCCTCCGCTTTCACCGTTTTGCACGCCACTCCATTCATCTCAGGTCAGTCTTCGCGACGACGGAACACTCTCGGTCTCTTTCCATGACATGAACTTGCGCTGTCTTTTTCTTGCTCTTGTTAACTATTTCTTTTTAGCATCCCACCGTCTTGTTCAAGTGACCTTGATCTGCTTCATTGCTTCACCGTTGCGCTTCCCGCTCACCTGAACGATATCTTGAAATCCGTCTTAGTACATCATAGGCCGGCTTTTCGTATATACGACTCCCATCTCGCCTACAGGTCGCCTTGATCCGACCAAACATTTCCTTCAATCCCACAAGCTAGCAACCGAAACTGCGCGCCTCGCAAGGAATTGAGGTATCCTCCACTGGCTATCTTGCATCGCGCACCCAGCTAGACGTTGATACACTTGTTCGTCTTGCTCAAGGTCCAATTGTGAAGCTCCTCGTCGGCTTAACCATCGCTGGTCTGCTATTACCACTCCAAATCTCCATACATTACTTGCGCCGGGCCTCACTGCACTCCGCTGCGATCAATTGAATTGCCCAATATTTCAGGATCTTCTATCCATTTGTCTCTGCATCTCTCAGTTTGCCCCAGGGTGTTTTATTCTGCCTTACCAACTCAAGACTCCCCACTCAGAAGCCCTTCAGAAGCTCGCCGCTCACCACCATCTCGGCACACAGTTGCTTCTGCGAATCTTCCTCCTCCATCACCCACAAGTTGTTCAGTGCGCCTGCAAAGCTGCGGTTATCTATACATTACTAGCGCTTCTACTTGCTGAAGCTGAAAATACCTGGTGGTGGGGTGAACATCTCTCTATTTACGGTACCATCTGCGCACACATATCAACGCGCCCATCGCTTGTGCAGCCTGTGCCGTATGCTTGCGCCTGCACCTACACAATTGACACACCCACTGGCAATACAGTTATATATCTAAGCAATTGGCTTCTTGGCAAGCTTCTTGATCTGCAAGCTGTTTTTGCTTACTTCAACCCTTCTTCTCCCTCAAGTTTGAGATAATGGGCGTTTGAATAGTTCTAGCGCTCCTATAATCTCTTTACTTATCAGCATGAATTCTGTCGCCCACAGCATGGCCGAGGCTTCTCCAGCTCCTGCTGCTCCATCCATGCAACACCAACACCAACAGCCACAACCTCCGCCATCTCCATCACCATCGCAGCCGACCTCTGTATCCGAAACCGCTCCGACGCCGTCCTTACCCTCAATTTCCTCGCCCTCTGCTCAGTCTTCCTCCCTGCCTGCTGTTCTCGCCGCCGCAACAGCTGTCGCATCAGTCTCCGCCCACTCGCTCCCGCAAAATCCAGATGAGCTTCCCCCGCTCCGCCAACCGTCGCCGACCTCGCCGGCGCATTATACGTTCGAACAACACCAACAGCAGCAGCAGCACCATCATCCTCACCACAATCTCCACCCCGTTACGCCGCCTCTGAGAAAGGACACATGCTCCTCCATCTCAACTCAGGCCACTAGCGCTACCTTGGCCTCCACAGAGACCAATAACACATCGTACAGTGCCGACACCTCTCCTAACTTGCACCAGTCTATTTTTTCTATAAAGGATGGCTCCGACGTCTCTAACAACCGCCGCACGAGCAGGAGACGGACCGGGCCCCTTTCTCAGCAGTCCAGAGAACGCGCTGCACTCATTCGAAAGCTGGGTGCATGCATCGACTGTAGGAGGCGACGAGTCGCTGTAAGTCATATCCATTCTATGTATCATACAAACTGTTTAATATGGACTTATATGCCAACACTTGTCTCCGTTATTGTAGTGCCATCCCAGTCATCATAATATGACATGGGAAGACGTCGTAACCAAGTTTCATCGTTCGCATAGCCCGACTATTCAGGACATTGCACCTTCTCTCGCCGCTGCCGGCCGACCGTTGAGCCCCGCCCCTGCGATCACCAATGTCCAGGCCTTGTTCCACGATACCCAGGAGATGGATATCGATTCCAGTACTCCTGGCTCCAATCTGCCCGGCCGACCTCCGTTAAGTGACGCTCGAATCCGTACCCCTTTGCCATCGGGCCCTCGCCTCGAGAAGTCCTTGTCTTTACCCGGCATCGAGAGCTTCAAGAACGATCTCCAATCCAATGTGGGGCGTATGCTTTCCACTCCCAGTCGGGATCGATACAGTTCTGTGCAGGTTCTGTTCCTGTTTTGGCAAGACGATGAGGAGGTCCCTATAATTCAGACCGCTGTCCGGGAGCTCGCTGAGGTCTTTGATAAGTATTATCGCTACAACTTTCAAGTTCAGGCTATCCCGTCGTCCTCTGACGGCTGCAAGAGCTCATGGAGGTGGCTATCAAGGGCACTCAACGAGTTCGTTGAGGACCGCGATGAGCGTGATGTATTGAAGATAGTCTATTACGCAGGACATACATACCTCGATGGCAATCGTGAGATGGTTCTGGCAAGGTATGTCATTTGTCACCAATTCTGCATTGATACCGACTAAGACTTGACAGCTCGCGAAGTCCAGAACAAGCCTCAACAATCCGATGGGGTGGTATACAGCAAACTCTGGAAGAAGCTTGTGCCGATACGTTGATTATTATGGATGCCGCGTACTACCCATCGTCCAGAATGGTTCGACAACAGGGCGTCCTAGAATTACTTGCAGCTTCGGTATCAGAAGAGCATTATTACGATCTCGATCGCTGTGCATTCACTCGGGCCCTCGCTGAACAACTGCGAGTCCGGGCAGCACGATTGAGTCCTCTTTCAGCTGCCGAGCTGCACGCGAATTTGTTCTCTCATTACGCCAAGATGGTCCAAGACAAGTATCCAGAGAAAGAAGTATTGACTAGTTTCCCCTCGCCGCTCCACATGATGATGTCTGGCAACTCAAGGCTTCCATCCATCTTTCTATCTCCTGTGTACCAGAACAGCCCCACGCGAGGAAGTTTCTCTTCGTACGAGAACAGCCCTCAGTTACACTTGTCTATTCGACTGGACGATGACAACGTCGACCTCGAAAGCTGGAATGAATGGCTGCGACTGATGCCGGAAGGTATCAGGGATGTCAAGGTTGAAGGGCCGTTTCGAGCTACGTTTAGATGAGTAACTTGGGACTCTGATACTATATTCGATTTTTGTTCAACGACATAACCTGGAAGTTGACCACACCAGCCCCTCTATGAATTGAGGTAGACTGCTCTTGAAACAGAGGATGTCTGTTGAGATTTTCCTGAAAATGGAAACGACCTCAACTTTGATGCTGGGCATGGTCGCCAAGGTCGGACATTACTCACTGATGGGTTCTCAGAAGTCCTATCATGGCGCACTCACATGAATCACTCCCCTCTCATGCTGGCAATGCATTGATTTTACTCTAATTTGATTTGAAATGGAACATGTAATGACGAGTCCATGAAGGATAGCGCATGGAGTCTTGGGCGGAGCAAAAAGCAAATGGGGCCCCAGTTTGAATCGCATAAACCGGGGTTACTTGACGGTCAAGCCGAGGAATTACGGCTGGGTATCTACCTGGAAGGATATTGATTGATATGGAAAGTAATTTGGCAAAAAAAGGCGAGAGAAAAGTGAGTCAGAGAGCCAGAAAGAGCGAGCATGAGACATGTTTGTTTATATATAGGCACCTGCATATGCAAAGGTAGCATTCTGCAGGTTATGTTTCATCAAGACCCGTTGAAGCTTTGTCTCAATATTTGTTTCACTCAGTAAATCATTCGGGTCAGGCATATCATACGGATGTCGACATAAAAGCTTTGACTATAACAGGCATGTGAAAGAGCAGCACCAGGGTCTAACAATGCAAGTGATAATGACGAAATGTCCAGCATAGAGCAAACAATGCACGGATACAATAGAAAATGGTGCATGATGGCGAGGCCGGGACCCATGAGGCCCATGAGTCGCCGGGTGATAAAGCATGGAGTCTTTGGCGGGACCGAAACAAAAAGTTTGTTGTTCATGGGGGGTTGGGTCTTGTCTTGGGAGGCCAGGGGAGAGGAGGGGAGGGGAGTGAGGAATTGGGAGTGAATATTGGGCTCTGACTGAGTCTGAGTCGAGTAGAGGTAGTCTGATTGACAATTCTCGGGCTCGTTGTTCAACTGCCAACGTAACAATGCGACATTTCTTGAATAAAATGATAGGCGGTAAAGCATGCCACATCATGGATGACCACCCGCATACCTTGCCTTGCCTTGCCTTGCCTAGGTACAAACGGGAACGGATATGGATATGGATGTACGTTGATTGAAAATCTGAGCGATGGAGCTTGCAAGGGTGGCATGTCGTTCATTGACGACCCCACCAGAGGACAAAAAAGCTGCGTGGATATTGGATGATGGGTAGCAAATTCAGACCCGAAAGATCCCATGCTAAAGTGCGGTAAGGCCGTCAATTGACCCTTTGGCACCTTTTACTTACCCAAAGTAAACGAAGTAGGAGTAGGAAACAGTAAACTGAAGTGCAAATCACGGCACGGCCCAGCCATTTCATTTTATCACCGAGGTGACCGCCTGAGAAAATTATCACAGCCTGGTGATAAGTGTTGGTGGTTAGCTGTTTAGCGCATGGTTTGGTGGCCTACCTAATCTGGAGCTGGACTGGAGCCCGGGGCGGACTGGCCTGGCCTGATACGATTTTTTTTTGTCCCCCATAACTTACGTCTCCATAATCCGCTGCCGCTACTGCAACACCACCTCAAGCTCATACTTCAACAACAGCATCTCCAACCTCCAACCGAGCCAACCTCTTTGTCTCTTTTTTACCTAAAAACTCTAAGAGATTCCCGATCTTCTAGTGACCCTATTCTGTTTCCTTTCTTCCCCTCTTCTCCTCCTCTCTTACCTTACCGATCATCTTCCTGACCCCTCCTCTCCTCAAACTTTTTAAACACCCCACATTCCCCATTACTGATTCGATATGGGCGGCGTTGTCTCTGCATTCTCTAGTAGTAGCGGTGAAGACTCCGTCGCAGCGCGACAAGCTCTCGAGAAGCAACTTGCCGACAGGGAAGAAACCATCGCCGTCCTCGAGGAAGACCTCTCAAAGAAGGAGAAGGAATGCACAACAGTATCCAAGGATGCCGAGGATTTGAGGGAAAAGATCAAGGAGCTTGAGGCTCAGTCTTCTCTTGCCCTTGACGAGACTCACGCCCGTATCGCTATCTTGCAGGAAGAGTTGAAGAAGGGCGGTGACTCTTCCTCCGAGCAGCTCCGATCCACCAAGGAGTCTGCTGAGAAGAACGCCAAGGAGCTCGAGGATGCTAAGACCAGCCTGACTGCTACCGAAGAGAAGCTTAAGGGTCTGGAGCAGGAGAGGCAATCCATTGCCGATGAGCTCGCCAGCCTCAAGGCAGAGCTTGCTGAGGCCAAGGAGGCCCGCGAGGCCCTCGAGGCTGCTCTCACCAAGGAGATTGCCACTCTCAAGACCCAGATCTCCGAGGCCGAGGAGAAGCACCAGACTCTTACCAAGGCCCACAGCACACTTGAGGAAGAGCTTGCTGCCGCTTCCAGCGCCGCTGAGCAAGGAAAGCAGGCTCTGACCGGTTCCGAAGACAAGTTCACCACCCTACAATCCAGCCACGCCAAGCTCGAGACCGACCTGGCCGCCGCCGTCACTGCCCTCGACGAGCAGAAGAAGGCCTTGGCCGGTTCCGAGGAGAAGTACGCCGCTCTCCAAGAGACACTCGACAAGCTCCAGGAGCAGTCCGACTCCCAGATCGCTACTGCCAAGAAGGACCTCGCCGAGGCTCAAGAGAAGACAAATGCTCTTCAAGAAACACACAACAAGCACAAGGCCGACTCTGAGAACGAGTTGTCTGAACTCAAGAAGCAGCTCTCTGAGCTTGGTGATCTCCAGACAAAGTACGCTACTCTCGAGGAGACCAACAAGTCTCTTGAGAAGGAGCTTGCTGAGCTCAAGGAGAAGGTTGCTGACCTCGAGAAGACCAACGAGTCTCTTAAGAGCAACTCTTCTTCCGAGCTTGTCGCTGCTCAAAAGGCTGCTGCTGAGTGGAAGGAGAAGCACGGTTCTCTTCAGTCTACCCACGATGGTCTGTCCAAGGACCTTGAGACTGCTAAGAAGGATCTTGCTGCTGCCGAGGAGGCCCAGAAGAAGCTTACCGAGGACCACACCGCTGCCTTGACCAAGGCTCAGGGTGACTCATCTGCTGAATTGGAGAAGGTCAAGAAGGAGGCTGCCGACCTTGAGGCCAAGCTCAAGTCTACTACCGACGAGCACGAGGCCCTCAAGAAGGAACGTGACGAGCAAGCTGAGAAGCTCAAGACTGTCACTAGCGACCACGAGGCCATCCAGAAGAAGCAGGAGGAGACCGAGGCTAAGCTCAAGGCTGCCACCGAGGAGCGCGAGTCTGTCGAGAAGCAGCTCAATGAGAAGACATCAAAGCTTGCCGAGCTCGAGAAGCAAATCGAGGAGGCTAAGGCCCAGGCTGCCAAGGCCGAGGAGGACCTGAAGGCTTCCCAAGCGGTAAATACTCACCATGAATACATACCCATTAAGGCACTAACATTTGCATAGGAGAAGAAGGAGCTTGAGGCCAAGATCGCTGATCTTGAGTCCAGCGCCAAGAACTCCCAGGAGTCTGAGTCTGGTTTGAACGCCAAGCTCAAGGAGGCCGAGGCCAAGGTTGCTGTTCTTGAAGGTGATGCTAAGAAGGCTGCTCAGGACGCTAAGGCCCAGTTGAAGACCAAGGTCGAGGAAGCTGAGGCTAAGGCCAAGGAGACCGAAGCTTCATTGAAGTCTAAGGCTGATGAGGCCGAGGCTAAGGTGGCTGCCCTCGAGGCTGACGCAAAGAAGGCTCAAGACTCCGAGTCTGCTCTCAAGAAGCAGCTCGAGGAGGCTCAGGCCGCTACCGAATCTGAGAAGAAGTCTTCCGCCGATAAGACCAAGTCCCTTGAGGACGAACTTAAGGAGCTCAAGGAGAAGTTCGCCAAGTCTGAGGAGGCTGCTAAGAAGGTCGAAGCTCTTGAGAAGGAGAAGGCCGATGCCATCGCCAAGGTTGAGTCTCTGCAGAAGGAGGCAGATGAAAAGACCAAGACCCTTGAGGCCGAGAAGAAGGCCGCTGAGGAGAAGGCTGCTGCTCTGGAGAAGGAGAAGACCGATGCCGAGGAGAAGACAAAGACAGCGCAGTCCGCTTTCAGCAACGCCCTCGAGAAGGTCAAGACCATCCAGGGTGAGAAGAAGGAGGCCGTTGCCGCCGCCACCAAGGAGAAGGACGAGGCTCTCGAGAAGGTCAAGGCCCTCGAGGCCGAGGTCAAGGAGCTCAAGGAGAAGAGCGCCACGACCAACGGCACATCTGAGGCTTAAGTGAAAGGGATTTTTTTGTCAAATGGGAAGGGATAATGCTGCTGATGAGACCAAAAAAGTGTTTGTTATACGATCTGTGACGCCGGATGAACTGAAATGTCTGATTCATATCACGGGAAACGAAGGAGTGGACTTATGCGTCTTTGATGAACTCGATACCCAATAAATAGTTTTTAGAAGAGCGTAATTTAGATGAGCGTCTATGCCACTCTTTTTCATGCCAACTTGGTTTTTTCCCCGTGCTTATATGTGAGACATTGAGGAGTTTGTTCTTGTGTTAGTGGAACAGGATGTGTTGCGAATGACAAAATGAAGACAATGCATCTATAAAGCAGCTAAGTACGACAATTATAAGATCCTAAGTAGTTACAATTGTTTGACGCGAATGCCGATTGACTATTTAATCTCACCATGTCTTGATATCAAGCTTAGAAGCCCTCAACTGTGGCTGCATCATCCCAAGCCACAGCCGCACCTCTCCCCCATCTGATTGGCCCACTTGTTCTCTCCTTCAACACCAAAAACGTCACAACATCAACCTCCAACCTCACCTCTCACAACCCTCCACCACCCAAAATGCGCTTCACCTTCGAAACCAGCGCCCTTCTCGCGCTCCTCCCCCTCGCCCTCGCCGACTCTTTAACCCTCTATCTCCCCCCCAATCCCAACCCCTTCAGCATCCCCGCCAACACGCACGCCACGCTCTCCTCCGCAGGCGTCCACTTCTCCGCGCCGCTGTCCTCCGCCAACACTTTTGTCTTTCACAACGTCACGCCTGGCTCGTACCTAGCCGATGTTCACTGTCCAACTGACGCGTTTCATCCGCTGAGGATTGATGTGCAGCTTGCGGAGGATGGGGAGGAGGGAATTGTGAGGGCGTGGGAGACGTATCGGGGTAATGATTGGGGAAATAAGGGGGAGGTTGTACAGGTTAAAGAGGGAAGCAAGGGACGGGGTTTTGAGCTGCGGGCTATTGGGGGAAAGAATTACTTTATGGAGAGGCCGCAGTGTAAGTCTTCCTCTCTACGATACTACGAGAAGGGATCAACGCTAACCTATGACAGTCTCGGTCTTTGCTATCCTCAAGAACCCCATGATCCTTATGGCTCTCGTCAGTCTGGTTCTCATGGTCGGCATGCCCAAGCTCATGGACAGCAGTATGTACCCCCTCACCCTTGCAAACAAATTTATAATAACGAGACTCAGTGGACCCCGAAATGCGCGCCGAGTTCGAAGCCCAGCGAAAGAACAGCCCACTGAACGCCGCCATGAGTGGGCAGTCATCCGGTGATAACCCTCTTACCAACTTCGACATGGCTGCGTACCTGGCCGGCTCCAAGCCTAAGGAGAGCAGCAGCCCAGCCAACAATGGCGGTAACGGTGGCAACACCAAGAACCAGGGCGTAAGACGGTAAATCTTGCGCAGTTATTGGGTATATCATGACTATAATAGCTGGATGGATACACGGCCCTGTGGGCACTGTCGGGGCGATAGAGAAGTAGATTATGAGATATGGCATTGTATGCATTTAGCAATGATCATTATTCCGCTGAACCTTCCCTCATCTCTTCGTTGTAGAGGTACAATAAACCTTGGTTAACTACTAGTCCAAAGCGTAATTGCGCACAGCCTGTTGTCATCGTATCCTTGTTCCATACCCAATTCCTGCCGTTTGCAAAAAATCACAGCAAAACCATATCTGAGTTAAGTCAGAGATATCACACTGAGAACCCTCCTTAGCAAATCCATGCAGAACGTATGGCGGCCTTTAGTCACCTCCATCATCGCCGAAATCAGCACCATCCTCTGTGACGATAGTTAGCACGCTGTTAGATATAAGGAGAATGGAAATAGAAACTTACCGAAACCATCCTGGTAGGCGTCTTGCTCATCGTTATCAAAAGAATTTGCGATCATGGCACCACCAAGCAGACCAGCACCAGCACCGAGAGCAGCACCTCCCATCATGCCCATACCACCACCGCCAGGTTTACGGCCACCACCTCCAAAGCCGCCGCCATGAGGAGCTCCGTAACCAGGACCGCCACCATAGCCACCGTAACCTCCTGGCGCGCCATAACCGCCGCCGTAGTGAGGTTGGGCACCGTAGCCCATTGGAGGACCTTGTCCAGGATAGCCTTGAGGCTGTTGCCCGTAGTACTGTTGTTGAGGGTAGCCACCTCCGTAGCCACCCTGCGAGCCGCCGTAACCACCAGCGCCGCCTTGTTGGTGGCTTCCAGCCATCTGCTTACCCTTGCCGAGCAGCTTGCCTAGGAATCCTCCACCACTCTTAGCACCCCGTTCTCTAGGGGGAAGTTCTGTGGGATAAGAACTGCCGCCTTGTTGTTGAGGGTACGGGCTGTTGTTCTGGGGGTAGGGACTGTTGCTCTGAGGGTATGGACTATTTGATGCGCCATATCCCGCGGGAACATCTGGACCACCAGGACCACTGCGAGCGCGGGCGTCTTCCTCGGCCTGTAGCTTCGCAGCTAGCTTGGCGTCTTCATCTTCGGAAGGACCACCGGCTGACTGGTCGCGATGATCCTCGTAGGGGTTTTTCTTGGTGTCTGTAGGGATAGGCGCATTGCCTTGGTCGTATCCGGGAGGAGGACCGGCGGGCGCGGCATCATCAGCTGGGAAGACGGGAGCAGTGGGTTTTTCCCATTGCGATTGTTTTGTGTAGATGTTGACGTAGAACCTGTAATGCGCATGTTAGCGACGCTGCGCGCGCGTAGATATAGTAAAGTTCTCACCATTCCTTGTATTGGTCGTTCCATCGCACGGCCCATCCGGCAGGAACCTCGGGGGCCTTAGGAGGAGGCGGGCCAGATGGGGGAGCAAAGTCGGCCATCGAAGTAGGATTTGAAAAGTACGCGATCGATGAAGATGTTGTTATAGGGTGCAACAACGATGTCGTGCGAGAAATTTGTGGTAGGTCGAAGTCTGAAGAATTCACAAGAGTCGATGATGTAGCAGGTGGGTATAAGTAGGTAGTGTAGTACAAGAAATTAGTGAGGTCAAGGTAAAGAGGGGAAGTTTTAATATCGAGATCAAGACACGAGAGCCAAGGATAAGGTAAGTTAAGGCTAAGGCTAAGACTACGAGGGACTATTTAAGCACATTACCTATTTCCCTTGGCAATCTGGCACCTGCCACTTGTGACCTTGAATGTTTCGCGTCAACGCCACTTGGAGAAGAAGGAACATGATGAGTTTGGATCTGAGCTGGAGGGGCAATCACCGAAACCCCGGTTGCCCCTCCCCCAACATGCGAAGCACAAGTGACGCCATTGGTGCAAGAGCTGTCATGTAGAAAGCACAGCCACCTTGTCCGCGGCTTCCTCGTCCGTTCTCCGACCAATTCTTCATTAGTGACTGACTCTAGAAGCATCCAAATAGCAGTAAATGCTCTAGGTAAAATGGGCGGCATGCGCCAAGATGGCCTAAAATTACAGCTGCAGTTACAATTACAGTGCGTTCTGCAGGTCACGTCTTGGAGTTGCTTGCGCATGCATTGATGACCCTGGAATAGCTTAGCTCTTTCGGATATTAAACGGTTATTCAGGGTTATGTCACTCAAGTGCTGTGCAAGGACGACAACCTATTCATAGGCTGCCTCACGGCATTTTCCTCCAGTTTCCAAAAGTCTTAATCGCATTTCGTAATTGAGCCCGCGGCTTCCAGAAAGCTTCATTATAGCATACGCCACGTATGACGCAGACAGTGGCGATCGCTCCCTGTGGCGGTGCACCATAGCTTCAAGTCAATCGATGTCCTGCATGAGAAGGGTTCCACTATCCTTCTCCATGATCCGAACACGATCCAATATGCCAGTTCCTTTTCCGAAAAATGCCTGACAATTCCATTACTCACCCGCCAACCCTTCTCTGTCATCCTCCTCTGGCGGTGGATTTCTATTCGTCCAAGGCTCAAAGAACTTGGAAGTCCTGGATAAACCTCCAATGGTCTCCCATATCAAGAGAAAAGCAAACAGAGCCATGATAACGAACATGAAGCTCTCTGCGTTGAGATGATTATGTGACTCGGGGATGACGACGAGAATGATCGCAATGACTAATCTCATACTGATTCGTGTCGTCTGTCCCATGAATAGAGTGCACTCACCTTCGACCCGGTACAGCATGCCATAAACCCAGAGGCAAAACATACCAACTCCAAGTCCTCCGCCGAGTAGCCAGCGTTGTCCGTCTTCAAACTCTTCAATCGCTGTGCTCGCAGCTGCTATGTGGCCTCCGATGAGAAACGATGCTGATAGCGGTAGATGCAAGAGAAAGAAGCCAAAAGCTGTCCAAGCAGATCGTCGAATCGGATGTGTTGCTTGGATACTGCCATCGCCGCTGGAATAAACCCAGTTCAGCACGAACGCAATAATCAGCGTGCAGACAGCCTTGGCGTATCCCGAAGTCAAACCAATGCCTGTCTTGTTGCCAACAATGATACTGTACACGAACTCGCCGAGAATGATAATGAAGAAGGCACCCATCCGGTCAATCTCATGCGCAATGTCAACAGCAGTACTATAAGTCAGATGCAGCTTGGCCTTGATCCAGGGACTCAGAGTAAGCGCCCATGTCGCCTCCTGATAGAAGATGCCCACGGCGACGATAGCGGCTTTTGCGCGAATGCTTATGTCCTCAAGGAAGAGCGGGATGGTGATGAGGAGACCGACAAACATGAAACCAGCCATGATCCGAGCCTGTGTGCGGTGCTGATACGCTGCGAACGAGGTGATGAGGAATACATTGAGGGTAGTGAAGCGGGCTACGAGGTACGCTCCAACAGTAGTTCGCATCGCTGTAATGTCCTCGTCTGCATCGTTGGCATTGTTCGCATACAGCACCAGGAGCGCCATGACCCAAAGAATCACGAGTCGCTGCAGTAAATCATCGGTATAATATGAGTTCATGATCTCGCGAAGATCAGCCCAGATATGCCATGCTGGCGCAAAGATGAGTATGTATTTTGCCAGATGAGCGCCATCAGGATGCTCAGCAAGCTCATCGCTGAAGTTGGCGACAATCGCGACATCTACAGAGTATAGTGTAAGTCAAGGCCTGAATGATAGCACGGAGATACCTACATAAAAGGTCCAGGAACAGCTCAAAGCGACCAGCCTGGCGCTCTTCCTCTTTCTCCTTGATAAGCTGTCCCTTGTAGAACCATTGCAGTGCCCTTGGCTTTTTGACCAGGAAGCAATCTGCTTTGGAGTGTTCTTGGAGCTCGTTGCAGTTCATCTTACTTCAACTGAAATTGAAAGATGGACGAGAGACAAGAATGAGGAGGAGGCTCTATTTGTGTGATTGTTAATATGGATAGAGATTTTAACCCTTGTTTCAGCCGCGCCTAGTTGATGAGGGAGAGCTGACTGGACTATTACCAAGCCATGCGCATGCAGCTATTTTATGGAGGTTGGTTGAAGCTGAAAGCTTGAGTGCTACACCACCCAAACACATCATTCTTTACGCCGAAAAGAGTGGTATTCAGACTAGGAAATAGACTTAGAAATATGCTTGATTTCTTGGCTATTGAGGCTTTGTAATCATTGTTACATTCTTTCAATTTGTTCCTGAGCTCAAGTGGCTGAAGCTATTCTGGACCGTCTTATGCCACTAACACCCAAGGGTCGGCCGCCTGGTGTTGATCCCCCGCTCTGTCATGTTCCACCAACCACTGAGTCTTGACCTCTCCTGCGATGACATTCGGATCATATTCTCCGTCGAGACCCTGCATTTGCTATACGAGCTGAATCTGCATCTGATAAAATACGGCATTCCCAAATTGCGATAGTACATTCCCATATCATCCATCGACATTATCGAAGCATATTAGTTGAAGCTAAAAGGTAACACTCTTCGAGGTCTCATTAACACGATCCATGAGTTCTCTCAACTCATCATCATCTTCTCCTCCAATAACAAGCTCTGCTAAACTGCTCCCCGTGTCTTGGTCTTCATACCAGCTTACGACACACATACGACCCTCTTGGAACTCAGACTTGAACATACCCAGAAACTCGTCGCGACGCTGTTGTATATCAATAGAGAAAGCTGAAGCAACATAAAGTTGTCGGCTTGTAAAATGTTTTCGTAGTAACGGCAGACAGCAAGAGCCTGTTGTGCGAACATTGAGATCAACCACGTGAAAGCCGTCTGCGTCCTCAAGGACATCTGCTCCTGCAGGACCAACATACCCATATGACTGAAGCCACTCTGATATCTGGTTTGTGAGCGTTTCGAATTTGAGTCGCAACTCGTTCTGTTGGCGGTAGTCGATTGTACTTCCAACCCAAGCTGTACCATCTTGAATCATCTGTTTGGACACTCCTAGAAATACCGGTTCTCGACCCTTCTTGTTGACGAAAAACGTGATGCCATAGTCACCAATTGGATTTTGTATCATGTCGGACAGAAGCATTGTTGCAGGCTCGAGATGTGAGTTGTCTGCGTTGACGGAGGAGAGTAACCGACTGAGAAACCCCTTTCCCAAGTCATCAATAATCTTTTGGCGTTGCTCCTCAGTCTTTACAATGAATGTCCCTGCGCCACCAAAGGTTGCTTGATTCTTGAGCACGAATGGAAGAGGGTGAGACTTGAGTGCGCCGTATATTCGCTGACTCTGCTCTTTTAGCCATGTTCCCCTGGTACCAGTACAGTCGTCTGAAATAACGAAGCTGTCAAGGCCACTTCCTATACAAATAGCGCAACATGACTGCGCATTTGTAGGGAAATCTTTGACTGTTATGGTGACACATTTTGGTGTAGGAAGACCAGAGTCTGCCAGGGCACGCTTCGAGTTGAGAAACCAATGTGTCTCGAGTGGAACAACGTTATTGTGTCTCTCTAAATCGTCATTGATGACTTTACAGGCGAGTAAGTCAATTCCTGTCTCCTTGATAGGGATCGAATCAGGTCCTTCACAGAAGATTGGTTGTGGCCGTTGATAATCGGGAAGTGTCGCCAATGTCTTGACGACCTGTTTCCGATCATGATCTCTCTTCTGTGAGTCTCCGTCCATGTGGAAGAAGATGACTGGCGCTGTGCCACATATGAAGGCGTCCCGTTGGTTCACGAGCGAGAGGTACTTGATGGCGGTTGTTGAATCCTCCTTCTCTGTACGTGGCCCATTGCTGCTTGTAAAGGGGCCATCCTGGTAGATGTATTTGCGGTTGGGAGGGATTTTGGAACTCAGTGGTACCAGAGCGCTGAAACCACCGAGCACTTGGCCAATTCGTTTGCTACTGTATTCAGATCCAGCTCGGTAAAGGTCATCGAGAGTCGTGTCCAGTACCACTTTAGGTAACTTTATATCTGTCGCCTTATGTGTGACTGTCATCGTGAAAGTGATTTATCACGAAGTCTGGCTACTTTTTACTATCTCTCCACGGCCGATATACGCCTCTATTAAGTACTCGACGGAGTTTTACGTCCGGTATTGATCTATTATCAGGGTTGCGATAGATCTAAGTGGTAGCTCCCTCCTACGTGTGGGGGCCTGAAGATCATTGACAGCTTGTTTAATGGTCCTACCATGACGTCAAATTATCTCAGATCTCGACGCAAGATTCACAGGGTGGCTTTAGTACAGAAGATATCATATCTCAAGAGGAAAACATATCTGGATCTTTTGTGACGTCAGAATTCCGCATATGTGATCAACTTCAATACTAACCACTGAAGGTACTCTAACCAAGGTGAGATAGCTTAATAAGTAATTACGATAGCTTAGCAAGGGATCCAAGGGCTAGCCAGCTGCAGGCCGCTTGGCGTTTCTATATTCTGGCCTCAAGGAGCAAGAAAACTTCTGACCTTGAGGTGAGATGACAAAACAAACTAGTCTAACATCTACTAAACTACACTAAACTTCCCTAAGCGTTTTTTGTCAATTAGAATAGACGTATTAAGTTTTCTTGCCTCCCCTAGCATGGTCATTCAATATCAGACTCATGGGGCCAAAAGTACGCGTTTATCAGATCAACAAAGCAATGATGAATTTGAACTTTCTTCTGTTCCTGTGATTTAATGCAATGTCATAGAAAACGCAATAGTATATCAGTGGTATGTCTTTACTGGCACTTATTAAAATAGTATGCTGACGTTGATATGGTTGCGCCTATGGAGGTTCAGCAGCCCTCAGGCAACTGCATCATGTCATTATGGCCGACCAAGTCACTAAAATCTGGTTTCTATATATGGTTTTCTCTAAAGTCTTACCTGTTCTATTTCTATCCATGTTGGTAAGGCCACGATGAGTGCACATGTTCCTTAAGCTCAAAGACCACGAGATGGGCAAGGGTCCCTTCGAATTGGCTGGATTCAAGTCATCTGTTACCTAGGAAACTCTATGAGTATATCTTGGCTTCAAAAAGGTTGCAAGTGGTCCAAAAGAAGTATACTCGACAAGTGCCAGACAGTGGCCAGCCACTGACAAGCCCCCCCCCCTCAACCCACCTGCTCTCAACCTAACCGGACGTATAATCATTCATTGTCTCTAATCTATTTGCGGCTCTTATATAATTCTTGACCCTAATTGGTCTAGTCCTCGCATTAGACTTTTCAGATATGCCCGAAATTGCAAACTCTGTGTGCTTCTCCTCCATGGAACGAGCTCGGGGTAATCCATGACTGGGCCTTAATCACATTCTTTCAGACTGCTTCATGGCATAAGATTTTCTTAGCCTCCTAACGATAGAATAGGGTTTATATTTTCTTAAATCCAGCGCCATATAGGTGCTCTGGGTGCTCAGGTTATAAGTAAGCATCACTTCTTCATGAGAGCTCCAGATAAGCTTCCTGTTGACTCGCCAAGATATTCGCGCAGTGACTCACAATAAATGAACGTCACATCGAACCTAAATACTTATACCACCACTGACTTCTGTGATTCGTTGAAGAAAGAATCTACTAAACTTTGAGCTGTCTATATAAACACCCAAAATGCATGCCTCTCGCCCGTCTTCTTTCTTCCATATTCTGAATCTTTTCTACTTGAAAAGTCGTCGCTACTTAAGCATGGCCAAGGTCAACGTAACAACCTCACCTTCTGTATACCTTATGGAGAGAACTTTGTGGTTTCTTCTCTCCAGGTTCGCGGGTGGGGGCAAGCAGAAGAAGCAGCAGTTCTCGCATAATCAGACCATGGGGCGTGAAACTGCTGCAAAACCTTCAGATTATACTTGAAGCCTTAAAGGGTCGGTGATGGTATGGCTCGAGGGAGGTATCTTGTTCGTCTGCCCAGTGTTGCTGGGTATCTTGGGATGATGGATGCTCGAAACTACTGAAACCTTTGGGCATGGCCAAGTGGCTAATTTATGTTCTTTTTCACGTTTCATTTGAGTTCAAAATTCTGGCTACATCTTTCTTTGCTCAAGTTTTCTCCTTGCTACCTCTCTGTTAATCAGTTGACCTATATTCCACACCTGACTTGCCATGCTCATTACACAGATAATTGTGTTCACTCTTATGCATAGCTTTTGATTTCATTTCTTTGTAATTCTGCGTTACTCCAACAGCCTAATTACATTCGCTATATTTGCTAAAATGTCATTTATACCCTTGGTATCACCCTGGCATGAACCAGTTATGTTATTCTCATGCCCACCTACCAGATATGATTGTTTTGCTGTCGGTGACCAAGGCCCTGAGACACCCGGGTACTACTGTTATTTCTGTTATTATTTCGTCTTTTACCTTTGTTGTCTTCAGTCTCATCAATTTCTCTTGCTTTTGCCGATGACTACTGAGAAGCTATCATTCTTTTATTCTCAGACACACCCTACTTACGATTACTTATAAATGAGTTGGCAGAAACAATACAATACTGCTCTTTCGAACGGTTTGATAACCTCTAAGAAAAACATCATGTGGTTGATGGTTCTGGTTTGCTGCGTCATCTTGACACCACCATATTGCTGTACCTTGGCACATGCAGGGTAGCTTGGTTCCCATGTCCTTGTTCGAAGGAATGACTCTCACTTATTAACAGCGCCTGCAGGCAGCTCAATACGTTTCAGTGCCTCAGGATGACGACTGAAATGATAGGATTTTGAAGGAGTGGTCACGGGACTGTAGATCTCATCATTGTAAATGTGAGTCACAGCATCAACATCCAACATACGAGGCTGTGGCAATTCTCATCTTGAATCCTGCATTCTTCATTTCATATTCAAATAACAGAATGGAGTATTATTGCAAAAATGTAAATGAAACCGTGATACAGTTCCCTAACAAAAGTTAAACTAACTCATCCATCAGTCATGGCAGAGTGGTCATTTCATTGGGAGAGTAAAGAGCCACGATGAGCTCATCGAAAACGCTCGCAAACTCATTCAAGACTTTCAAAATGCCCGTTCAGAAATCGGCGATGGCATTCCATCTCTCGTCGAAACCGCCATCGAACTGGAAGAACTCGACAAGTCGGTCGCCCTCGTCCAACAAGAGGAGTCGCTTCGCACCGCAGCAGTGATCAGAGAGATAAAGAGCACAGTCAGGAGTGTCCACTATCAAAGCTGGGAAGCCGTTCGAATAGTCGGGAAGAAAAAGAAGGCTGTAGAGAAGAATGGCCCAGATGCTATGGTCCCGAAGAGATATTTCCATTCATTCAGACCCATGCCCAAGTGGGTTATCAGGTCTAAAGATAAACTTGATGAAGCTATCTTGTGCGCGCAGGTTGGAATATTCGGAAATGAACAGGATGGGTTTTCGATCCAGTCCGATAAGGTGTTTGAGATGAATGGAAAGGTTAAGGATGCTCTTGGTATTCACATGGTTCTTGCTTTGAGATTGTGGGATGAGCCAACTGACATCGTCGGTCGGACTGTCTCTCCTGACGATGAATCCAAGGGCGAGGGAGCTCATCAGCATGATACAGCTGTCGAGGGGTTAGATAATGAGAAGCCTGATGAAGAGGTGGGTTGTGTCTACGATAACATTACCCTTGATCAGGCGCGTGCTATGGCTGGTGAAGTTGGGGTGCAAGCTTGGACTGAAGCAGCCCGGTTACAACCTCTAAGAAGGAAACACTAAGGATCATTTAGGAGAAGGGACACAGTACCATCGCAGGGTGTACATGATGAACAAGGAGGCAATTTAGCAATAATGGATATTCTTTCGTCACTGTTAAGCAAGTTCATGAGCCAATGGGTATCTCGCAGGTTAAGTACATAAAGTTGAAAGCTCCTGTGGAATCCAAATATCTTGCAATAACCAGTTTAGTAATGAATCTCATAGCTCATGGTTCTTGTTTCTTTACTATTGGGGAATTCTCACACCACAAAATATTGCACAATTTCAAGATCAAACAATATCGCTTTCTCATTTCTTCAAGCTCCTAGTGGGTATTTCATAAAGCCATTCCTAATCATAGTCCCTTTTCAAACACTCAGTCTCGTCTCTCTAAGGGGCAAGAGGGGCCTCAGCCTCCTTGTCACCTACAGGGATATCCTTCTTCTCGCCCTTGGTGGTAGCATCAGCAGAAGCCTTGAAAGACTGCTCAAAGTCGGCGATAATATCGTCAATGTGCTCGATACCAACTGAAATTCGGATCAGATCCTGCCGTCTGTTAGTAATAGGTCATCAATCCGATATTGGGGGAGAGACATACCTCAGTGACACCAGAGCTGCGCTTCTCCTCATCGGAGAGCTGCTCGTGAGTGGTGCTCCATGGGTGAATAGCAAGTGTCTTGGCATCGCCAACATTGGCCAAGTTAGAAATAAGCTTGAAGCCATCAACAACCTCACTTCCAGCACCACCACCCTTGACACCAAAGCTCAAAACACCACCGAAGCCCTTCTTGAGGTACTTCTTAGCCGTCTCATGGTAAGGGTGGCTCTCGAGACCAGGGTACGAAACCCAGCTGACATACGGGCTCTTCTCAAGATATTGAGCAAGGGCGAGAGCGTTCTGGGCATGACGTTCAGCACGGAGACTGAGAGTCTCGAGACCGAGGAGGAGCTGTTGAGCAGCGAAGGGGTTGAGAGTTGAACCGAGGTCACGGAGGATTTCGACTCGGGCGCGGATGATGAAGGTGATGTTGCCGAAGGTCTCGTAGAACTTGAGACCGTGGTATCCCTCAGAAGGCTCGTGGAATTGAGGGAATCGAGCAGCGTTCTTGCCCCAGTCGAACTTTCCAGAGTCAACGACGACACCGCCGATTGTGGTTCCATGGCCTCCAATCCACTTTGTAGCAGAATGAACAACGATATCAGCGCCGTGGTCGATAGGGCGGATGAAGTAACCACCAGCACCAAAGGTGTTGTCGACCTAAAATAACAATTAACGAAGTGCGTAGCCTAGCATAGGTTTTTTGACTTACAATAACAGGAACGCCCTTCTCATGAGCAGCCTTAGAAATAGCCTCCAGGTCAGGAATGTTATACTTGGGGTTTCCAATACTCTCAACATAGACAGCCTTTGTCTTATCATCAATGGCAGCTGCAATGTCCTCAGGCTTGTCACCATCGACAAACTTGGTCTTGATGCCCAGACGAGGGAAGAAGACCTTGAATTGGTTGTAAGTGCCGCCGTAGAGGTTGGAAGTAGAGACGATGTTGTCGCCGGCGTGGGCGAGGGTGCTGATGGCAAGGAACTGAGCAGCCTGGCCTGATGAGGCGGCAAGGGCTGCAACACCGCCCTCGAGAGCTGCTATTCTCTTTTCGAATACATCGACAGTTGGCTGATAGTGTAAGTGGTGAGTTAAGCGGGGTTGGGAGTTGAGAACTCACGTTCATGAGACGGCTGTAGATGTTGCCGAATTCCTTAAGACCAAAGAGCCTAGCTCCGTGAGCAGAGTCATCGAAGACATAGCTCTAAATACAGTATTAGTGAGTAATTCACGATGCGAGGCTGTGCGAGCTGCAAGTGGCTTGTGAGAACATACGGTTGTAGCGTAGATAGGCACAGCTCGTGATTTGGTGGTGGGATCGACCACAGCTCTAAAGAAATTCAGTCAGTTCAGTTCTTCCAAATAGTGTCACTCCATAAACTGCAGCTGTATAGCAGTTGAAAAGTCCACCATCAGAGCCGAGGCTAATTGGGAACAAACCTACCCCGCGTGAAGCTGCAGTGTCTCAAAGTTCTTGCTAAGTTCCTCAGCCATGATGAATCACGTTTCCAGTATCAAAAGATCTAATCTATCTGAACAGCAGAAGAGTAAAGGGTAAATAAAAACAACAAGTCACAGATCAACTCATTCCCCTTTATACTCGCTCACAGCTCATCCAACATGCACTTTCAAGTGCTCTTATTCTAGTGTATCCAAGCCTCTTTGGGCATGGCTCATTAGGACCCCGCGTAGCACGCCATCGAGCTCCCCACGCTTTTGCCTGAGCTGTCTTTACTGTTTGAGAAAGCTAATGGCTTGATCGTCGTTTGACAGCTGCAAATGTATGAATTGTGCAATAACCGAGAACCGCCGAGAACCGTTTATGATTTGGTTTCTCGGCTGGAGATGAAATAATTACGTATTTTTGTATAATTATTGTCGGGCTTGTCATGATGGTGACATGCGGGGTTGATGAATGATACAGTGTATACGAGGAAAAGAACTCGATTGGTTTCCAGGAAATAGATAAGCTTCTTACCTTTGCAGTAGAAAGAATGTCACATAATCTTGATACAAGTGTACAGCCCAATCAGCTGAACGTGATATTACACCTCCCACGCAATATATAACATCAGACGATAGCATCCTCAGCTCTTCATGTCCCCCACCATGACCCAAAGTCCAGGTCCAATGGTGCAATTACCACGCACTGCATTCCCATTCTCTTCTTGGACCATTGCACAAGCGAAAAACTGACCGAGAAACATATCTCTTCAAGCCACCGACCGGCCCGTTCACCCGGCGCCGACTACCTTACCTCAGCCTATATAAGTATATACTTCTCGTACGACTTCACGTCTTCCTCTTTCGATCCGAGTCTCGGGGTCTTCGGCTCTACTGACGTACGTACACATGTCGTGACTTTCACATACACCGAAACGACCGAACGAATTCCTCAATGATTTTGGTTGAATGAATTAGAAGCCAGTCCAACTCAACAGCTTCTTTGACTTTCATATCAAACGCGCTATCAGCCTCTGCTACAGCAGGCTCTGAAACTATAACGCAGAAAACGCCGAGTTTCCCATTCCAGCCCAGAAATTCAGGTTGGGTATGATATCTCCCATGCCGATATACTCCTTTGACAGCATAGCCAGGCCACTCAATATAGCACTTCCATTTTGTCATTCCTAAATTGCCCAAACGCCTGTCATTAATGCCCGTCTATCCTTTCCAATACAGATTCAATTCCATCATTCGAGGACCAAGTCCCGGGCTTTTTGTTATGTGGTGTTCATGTACTGTCTGCCCGATTTCTTATGCCTGCCCCATTTCTCGACCCTCGTCATCCTTCTTGGGTTCTTGAAAAGCTTTTTTAAATAGGTCCTTGGCAGTGAAAGCAGTTGTTGTAATCCACGCCGTGAACTGACCCGCAGCAATAACGGCATCGGCACGAGCGCAAGAGCAAACAGTCCCCTCACACATGATAAGCGATCCGATAAACACGGCGATAGCGATGAATCCTGCAAAGTACAGAGCGGCGTTGACGGATTCGACGACTACGGCGGCATATTGGTGGTAGATGCGCGGTACGAATAGAGGAGTGAGTGAGAGATAGGCGACGGATAGAATCGAGAATATGGAGGAGACCATGAGATAGGTAAACGGCGATGGCGCTGAGTTTCGGCTTCGCTGGTTATAATCGTTGACAACTGAGACTGTTAGTTGCTTCCCCGACAGAAGATTGTCGTGGTTGTCGTTCACTTACCATACGCGCTCAGACCGATACTAGCAATAGATAAAGCTAGCTGCAGAGCTCGCAGCGATAGAAAAGCGATCCGACTCATAGTGGCAATATTATGTTGTCCAAGAAACAACGCAGACAGAGAGAGGAAAAGTTGAAGATTACAAGTTCAGCTCATGCGACAGTTGATAACGACTCAAGGATGTTCAACCCCAACGATAATATAAGATAAGAGAAAGAAAAAAGACAGGAATCGTCGTGAAAATAGGCCCGATGGGCGAAAACGTGGGAATCGATAGATATAAAACCAAAGACCTGCTGACGAGACATTCTCTCGGGACCATGTGGGGGCGTGGACGATCCAAGGGAGATGGCCCGAGAGAGAGACCGTGGGACCCGTCAAGGGGCCACTAATAAGAAAACAGAACAAAATCGAAAAGAGAGTGAGCTTTTTCTTTTTTTAGGACATCGTCGAAACTCTAGGTTAAAGGCATTGACGATTACATGTCCAATCTCGTCGAGTCAAGGCGGTTCTCTGCATCAGGTCGTGTTTTGACGAAGGGGGCCTGAGACACGGACAGGGACGAGGTCGATATGAAACAGTCCCTCTTTTATTTTTTCGTTGTATCTTATGCCGTGTAACGTAGCGTTTTGATGGTGGTAAGGGGGCCGCCACCGTCCACCGCATAAAAGGGATATTTCTCTTATCAAACACTTCCATGTAGATAAAACAACTGTAATTTCCAAAAGGGAAACCCCGCGAGTGTCGGTGTTTGAGACGGGCTTGTTGTAGATCTCGGTAGATCTTGGATTTATGCATACCTAGGCAGTTAATCCCTGGGACATTGAAAAGGAGGCTTAAGAACGTGGTAACTTTGACCAGACCAAACGTCTTTGCAGCAGCAATACTGTTGCTTCATGTCCAAATGCGGTCATTCAACTTGAATTGACCTGAAAGATCACTCGATCCATCGTTATCGGGTGTGTTTCGTCAAGACAACAAGCGCCGAATACAACCTCCGTGATACGGAGCATTGATGGATGGTATGCTTTTGGCGCCAGATACGATGTTTCTGACGAATTTGTGATGGTGATCGGCACGGGTTATGCCAACTCATCCAATATCGTGAGTGCTATCAAGAAGTGCACGTGTTGACGCGAGCCGCTTTGGCAGTGAACGAAGAGTTGGTGTTAGGTAAGGTGATCCATAATTGATGGTGATGACGTCGTTTTGGGGA